AATTCTCCTTTCTTTGTTGCCGAAGAAGGGGGCTGTACACCTTTTGAAGAGAACACCTCTCTGCGTATGCGCCTTCGGCCGCGCTTAAGGATCATAACCCACAAGAAATAGGATTCTTCTTTCTGTATTGCCGAAGAAGGGGGCTGAATACTTTTTGCACAGAGCACCTCTCTGCGTATGCGGCTTTCGGCCACGCTTAGGGATTATAACCCCCAATAAGTAGAATTCTCCTTTCTATGTTACCGAAGAAGGGGGGTTGATTACCTTTTGCAGAGAACACCTTTCTGCGTATGCAGCTGCGTTTAGGGATTATAACCCTCAACAAGTAGAATTCTTCTTTCTGTGTTGCCGAAGTAGGAGGCTAAACACCATTTGCAGAGAACACCTTTCTGCGTATGCGGCCTTCGGCCGCGCTTAGGGATTATAACCTTCAAGAAGTAGAATTCTACTTTCCGTGTTGCCGAAGAAGGGGGCCAGAACACTTTTTGCAGAGAACACCTTTCTGCGTATGCGGCCTTCGGCCGCGCTTATGGATTATTACCCTCAAGAAGTAGAATTCTCCCTGCTGTGTTTCCAAAGAAGGGGGGCTGCACACCTTTTGCAGAGAATACCTTTTTGCGTATGCGGCTTTCGGCCACGCTTAGGGATTATAACCCTCAAGAAGTAGAATTCTCCTTTCTGTGTTACCGAAGAAGGGGGGCTGAATACCTTTTGCAGAGAACACCTTTCTGCGTATGCAGCTGCGTTTAGGGATTATAACCCTCAACAAGTAGAATTCTTCTTTCTGTGTTGCCGAAGTAGGAGGCTAAATACCATTTGCAGAGAACACCTTTTTGCGTATGCGGCTTTCGGCCACGCTTAGGGATTATAACGCTCAAGAAGTAGAATTCTCCTTTCTGTGTTGCCGAAGAAGGGGCGCTGAACACCTTTTGCAGAGAACACCTTTCTGCGTATGCAGCTGCGTTTAGGGATTATAACCCTCAGCAAGTAGAATTCTTCTTTCTGTGTTGCCGAAGTAGGAGGCTAAACACCATTTGCAGAGAACACCTTTCTGCGTATGCGGCCTTCGGCCGCGCTTAGGGATTATAACCTTCAAGAAGTAGAATTCTCCTTTCCGTGTTGCCGAAGAAGGGGGCCTGAACACTTTTTGCAGAGAACACCTTTCTGCGTATGCGGCCTTCGGCCGCGCTTATGGATTATTACCCTCAAGAAGTAGAATTCTCCTTTCTGTGTTGCCGAAGAAGGGGCGCTTAACACCTTTTGCAGAGAGAAGGAGTGCGCTCTTATATACACGCAATCTAAATTTAATTATTATCCTTTAATTGTAACACACTTAAAATCTTTCACATTTATTGTTATTGGCTCGCTAAATAAAACCTCTTCTAATAGTAATATGTTGGCAACACCAAGCACCTCCATGTTTTCATTACAACTAGCGGAACAAAAAGGAGACGCCGGGTTTACTTACGTTGTTTTCAGTCTAATATATAATTAAATCATTAAGTTTCGCAGCTTTTTGTTACAAATTCGGGTAAAATAAACTATGGTAAACATCAAGATTAATATGCGTTCATTTCGTGCATTTATTTACTAACAAAATTGAGCTAACTGAAACGGATTTTTGCAAATAACTTTTGTACGGTTTAAAAAAATATTTTTGCGCCTTCGGATATTTAATACTGGCTACTGACTTCGCGTCGTTTGAAGTCCCTTTCGATAATTGTGCATCAATTTTCGGTGAGGACCATGAACTGCACTATAACCTTCAAGAGTGATAAACTGTTGGTGAACTTGATAAAATGATAAATTATCAGTTTGATAAATGAACTGTCAAACTTTGTAGGAAAATCTATTTAACCAAAGTTTATCACTTTATCAAACGATTTTGGTGGATAAACGCATGGTGTAATGAACTGAAGGTGGCGCATTCCCGAAACCGCTACTTTGGTTTTGCCGACTTTGACGTTTATGGCAATACGTAAACAAACTTTTTGTTTAGAAACAAGTGCAAACGTATTGTGTACTTTCAAGTGAAAAATCGAAGTAATTCGTGCGTTCTGAAGTAAAAAACGTTTTATTTGTAATAAAAACTTTAGAAAAATGTCGTGTCGTGTGTTGAATTGCAGCAGTCGTAGGGGTAAAGCCCCCAAATGCATTTTTTTTTTTGTTTCCCCGCGACGACGCCTTGGCCAGAAAGTGGGTAGAGTTCTGCCGGCCGGAGAAGCCATACAATTTAAACACCAGCGTAATATGCATGAAGCACTTTACGGACCACTTTTAAACGCGACATGTTAAGTTAAAAACGTTAAAATACCACAAATTACAAATTAAAATCGGAGGTAAGCACGCATCGACCACTTTCTGCAGGAAAACATGCGCTGCGACAAGATATTATCACTTTTTCGGCAACTGCAATACAAACACAAAAATTCTAAATAGTTAATTAATAAGACCTATTCTTTTGAACACATTTCAAGAGTGGTTGTATATTTTTCGTTAAGGTTGTGCTTAATTTGCTATATTCAAAGATGGCTTGAGAAATTGGTGAATCGTGAAGAAAACACGTTTTCTCACTGCAAATTCACAACTGTCAACTCATTGTTTTTCGCCATATTCTTTGTTTATCCGTTACCACAAATGTCATTCTGCGGGAATGCGCAATCTTGTATTCTATCGTTCTTGGGATAAACGTATAAATTTCAGCAAAATTCAACCCTGACAGACCGCCAGGTGGTCGATTTTGTTACGACCACATAAAAAGTAAATTAGCACAATGGACGAGTTAAGAATGAAACGTAGCTAGCCTGATAAGTTAAATAATAAACAATTTCGTGCAATTATTTACCAAGGTGCGTTCATGTAAGAATGCGGATAAACTGATAAATTTAAGCAATTTATCCCTTTATCACTTTAGATGAAGAGCCCTATTATTCGATGCATCGACGTATTTTATTCGATGTAGGAAAGTTCGATATCGTATTGATTATTCTGAATATCGATATTTCATGGCACGATAATCGATTTTTTGAATCGATATTCCAAGGTCGATATATCGAAGACATCGATACTTTACCCGCAATATCGATATTTACGTTGAAATTTATTTTTGATCTACAAAGAAGTGTATGGGACAATACTAAAGTAGGTTTGATCAGCAGCTTGTATGATTTATTTAGCTCTTAAGTTTGACAATCCGCTTTAGTCGACCGGCATTCCGTTTTAATCCTCAGTAAATATACAAGATGGAAATAACACAATTAGGTGAGTTGACAGGCAGGTCTAATAGGGAATTTACATGATTCAACTTGCGCAGGCGATTAGTTGAACCAAAAGTTGAACGAAAGTAGGCAGCCGACCAACTTCATTGGAAGCGATTAGTTGAAAGGCCATTTACACCAGGCGATTTTTGCATTCAACTAAAAATCGCCTGAAAAATCGCCTCATGTAAATTCCCTATAATATTCTATTCAATTGGAAGTAGAATTTTCAACATCGATTTTTCCGATATCGATATTGTTCAGCCCGATATATCGTCATATCGATTTTACATGCAATGAATTAAATCGATTCATGACATCGATACTTTCTTAAATATCGAAAATTCCTAATTCGATGTATCGAAAACTTGGGTAGTACCCTGCAAAAATCGTTGGACCATGTAGTCTATATGTGGTAAACGGGAGTACTTACAAAAGTGATCCTCTGTCATGCTGTATCGGACCAACTCGTGTCTCTGCGCCAGCTTATTGTTTGTTATCGGATCACTGCTCGTGTTTTAACGAAATGTCATTGAAGTTGAGCATTTGAAAGCACATTTGCATGTCTGGCTGTAGCTGAACGTGTAGAGATGCTCGCTGTTAGTTCTTAGCTCCCAGCATGTTCGGGTTCGAATGCCATCAGAGGCAACATGTAATTTTTAATTTTTGGCTTGGTTTTTATGAATTTCGAAAAAGCATTTGAGAAGTTAAGAACAAAAGCGTGTACAAACGAAAAAATATAACAACAATGCCATTGTTAATATGTTGGAGTAGTTTTGTGCTACTCTGATGTAATGCAGGGATGGAGTATATGGTCCTGCCCTAGGACATCGCAATGTTAATTGGACCATATTTTGTATATGAATTGTGGTTAATTTTGTAGTACTCCTTGATCCTTAGGGAGTACTCTTTACACGCATGCATGGAGTAGTCGCGATTTTTGCAGGGTAGTGCTCTTTAAAAGGTGTTCGCACGAGCCGATTTTGCGTTAAACTTTTGCGTTCAACTCACGCAGGGTTGCCCGAAAAAAAAGTTGAATGGCTAAATGTTGGCTGTCGACCAACTTTATTGAAAGTGATTAGTTGAAAGGCCGTTCAACCAAAATTAGAATGCAAAGTTGAACAATGCAAACGCCTTTTTTATGGCGAATATTTTGATATATTTCTATATTTTGATATTTTTAGCCACTAAATTTTTTTTTCGTGCAACCCTGCATGAGTTGTACGCAAAAGTTGCCTGAAAAATCGCCTCGTGCGAAAGCTTGACTTGTCCAAAAATTGACGCAAACTTTCTAGAGTGGTGTCAATCGACGCGTCTTAACGACAATAGTAATAATCCAAGAGCGGAAATTAACTTTTTTAATTAATTAAGGAGTTATATGAAAAAAAAACACTTGCACTATTCGCACTTTCTTTTGGAGTAAATAAATGGAGTAAATAAACACAGCTTAACAAGTATTTGTTACCTTTTGCATATTTGTGATGTATTAAGTGAAGCATTTGCACAAAATTGTTTATTTAATTGCGATATTTCTGCGTTGAAAATCCCGAACAACAATCTTGTGAATATTATATAATATTTATAAAGATGTTGTGTTCGTATGTCACGGTCATCAAAACTCGAGAATGGCAAAACCGATTTGATTATTTTTTTTTGTATTGTTCAGTATAATACCAGGATCATTTATATTACAAAAATTTGGATGATTGCCACCTCTTTGAAAATTTTAAACTCAATTAAATTGATAAAATAAATGACATATTACAATAGGCGTAATCTTTTGTAAGCGAGCGACAAACAGAACACTCGTTTAAATGTCCATTTACACGCGAAACAACAACACAACTCTAGTAATATATACGAGTTAATTTCAACTCGTATAATGATAGACGACTTGGATCGGTATGCTGCCAAGTTCAATTATTGCACCATTATGAATGATTCTGGAAGGTAATTGGAAGGCTTCCATTCAAATGTCAAAATATTTCGCCGAAAATAATGAATAAAATTTTGGTTTATTTTAAGGATGGAAAAAACTACATGAAGGAGGTGGACACGGGAGGAATCTGAGGGTTTTTGGCGGCGCTACTTGGCTCGCAAAGCCGAATGTGAGCACCCAAACAAAAAGCGTCAGGCATACGCTAAAACACTTGAGGATATGATATCCGTAGGCATTACGGTATGTAATTGTTTTATTGAATATAAATTCCATAAGACACTTCATTATTATGTTCTCAGGATTCTGGGAGGGGAGGATGCGCACTTTGCTGCAAGCTTATAAGGCAGCACGCGACAACAACAACCGCACAGGTTCTTCTCCGTGTTTCGCCCCGTACATGGAGCTAATGGATGAGATATTTGGGATCAGCACCAATATATCTAACTCCCATACACTGCAATTGCGGGAGGGCCCTGTGCAAATGTTAGGGGAGAATTCGCCCATACCGGCACCCTCAACTCCGCTATCACAGCAGTCCCCAAACTCGTCAACATTATCGTCCCTGTCACAGTCGCCACTCCCCTCAATATCATGTCCATCAATGTCTCCACTCCTGCTAAAAGGAAACGTTCGGCGCGCGAACTTTATTATGACGAAAAATTGAAGCTAAAGTAAAAACCATTTGAACAAAACAAGCAACAACGAGAAGAAAAGTTTGCAGCAATGCAGGACGAAGCAGAAATTGGAAAAGGACAGGTAAGTGGAATTGAAAAAACTGCAATTACTAGAATATATTATAAACAAAATGTAATTGATTTATTATTTAAACTATGTTCACATTACGGCGTAAATTACTTTGTTTCGATCAAATTACTTCACATAAATCAAGTAAGTTCACATTTTCTTGTATAAATTCTATAGCATTTCGTACGAGTGCGTGGTTTGCACTTGATTTCAAAAAACAAATGGTTGCATAGCTTTAGGAATTTTTTTCAAATTTCCCTAAAGCTGCCTTTACATGAGGTGATTTTTTGACAGACGATAATCGCCGGCAAAAGTTGACTTGCTGTCTACTTTGAGGCAAGCGATTTTTGAATAACCATTTCCACGAGCGATTTTTCCAGAGCAATGTTGAATCGCCTGGAAAATCGCCTCATGTAAAGGCAGCTTAACAGTGGCGGCTAAAATAAATGAAAGTGTTTGTTTTCTTCATTTGATTCTTGATTTATGATAAATTATTTAATTTCTACTTAGTTTATTGACACATTTTACAAGGCGAATTTACTTGATTTCAGCATGATTTGCTTGTAAATTACAAACGAGCCGTAAATTACGATAATAGGTTCATTCCTTATCTTTTTGGACTAAAATCTGAAAAGTGTCAAAATGCCAGAGCGTAAGCAAAATGCGCTCACTAAAAGAGAATAACAGGAAAAGTAAAGGAACGCAAAAAACCAAATTTTTAGTCCAAAGAATGGCAACAACAAAACTAACGTCAAATAAGAACAGAAATGTATGTACAAAACACATTCACACAAGCACAAGCACAATAAACACTTGCTATATCAATTATTTTTTGCCTCCTTCCAATTTCAATTCATTTCTTTTCCTTTTTAGATTATTCTCACTTTTTGCGTATTCTTTAATTTCCGTTAATTTAAATTCAGTTGAGTTTGACACTTTTCAGGATTTTGCCAGAAAAAATTCTTCTGACTAAATCTGACTACTTCGGACTGATGAGAGTCGCTCTCACTGACTTTTGCTCTCTCATTTTTGCTGTCATTTCCGAGTTAAGGAACGCTTTTTGGACCAAATCTGACTACTTCGGACTTTTTCTGACTATTTCTGGGAGATAAGGAACGCTCCTAATGTGAATATGCTTTTAGGATAGTTGATCTCACTTACGCTGCGTCTACATAAGACAATTTGAGACAAGACAATTGAGTATATGTATTAGTTGTCAAATTGTTGCGTAAAGTAGGTGTCCAGACAATTATAAAAACAATAGGTGCAATCCCGTATTGCTCGGACTAAAACTAGTAAAACTGTCAAGAAATAAAAATTCGTTCAGAGCGAGAGAGTAACATTGGAAAGTACGGGATCGCTTTCTAGTAAAAAATGGTAACTTCTGTCAACTTCAACATAACCTCCAAATTTTGGTTGTAAATTTTTGCTTATTTTATATGTAAACACGCTCAGCTCACACATATAAATAACCGAAAATACTTTCAAATTGATTAAAATCCACTTAAACAAGTAATTACATACTTTTTAACATAAATTAGCAGAGTGCACTTTTATTTTGTTTACAATTTGGTTGCCAAACACACTACAGCTGATCGTTTCACACATTTACCAGAACTTGCCAGCAAAAAGTCTTCGGACAAAAATGGTAACTTCTGACAGAGAGATGACCCTATTTACTCTTTTTTTTGTCCTCTCAATAGTCAGAGAAGCGAGTACGGGATCGATTTCCAGTAAAATCTGACTGATTCTGACTAGTCCGGACTCGTACGGGATCGCAACTAATATATTTTTCAGCAACCGCCGTTAGTGTCGTTTGGCGTGAATTTCATATTATTTACTAAAATATTCAAACACAAACCATTTTTTCATAATTCTGCGATTTTTTGAGATTTAGTCTTGCCTCTTTTTCTCAAATTAACCAAGAATTGTCTAAAAATCGAAGACAGTGACGAAGACAATGAGAGAAGTGTGAATGTATTAAGTTTCTAAAATCAGCTGTTACTGCTAATATTTGCAGTCACTGCCGCAGCAAACACAATACGGCTTTTTCAGTGACTGCTTTTTTTGACATTCCCTTTTGTTTGTTTACACTTTTGTTGTTGCCTTTTAGGCTTCAGTGACATCAACAGAAGTTGGCTGCGTTTCGTTTATGTCAAATTCAACATGCGAAGTTGGCTGCGATGAAGGCAGTGGCAGTGAATTTAGAATTTGGGCTAAACAGCAGTACTGCTAGCTATCACTCTTGTATTGTGAGTCGCTCCATTGGACACCACACTTTCTAAAAATTAGCTGCCACTGCGTTATTGTATTTTGGGCTTTTGTGAAAAATTGTGAATGTATTGCTATTGTCTTGGCAAAATTGTCTCATGTAAATGCCGGGTTAATTGCGGAATTCTAAATTCAATGGATTCTCCTGTTTTATCAGATTGTCTCTAGTTTTCGAGATAACGCTACTTGTTTAAAAACAACGGCTCACAAAATATATCGAATATAGTGTAACGTCGACTCCCAAATTCTGAACCTTAATTCCCATTAGTGCATTGTAAAGTGGTAACAAAAATTAAGTTCGAAGTGGACAGATTCGAGTGGCCGGCGAATATTAGAAATTACTATTTTTGTCACTACAGTTTGAATGTATGTTTTTTTGAATGAAGTGGTAATTGAAACTTTTAACGATTTAAATTGATAAACTTAATGAAATATTGCAATGTGGGTATCAAACTTTAAATTTTTAAGAAGGCTTACAAAAGAAAATTTGTTTGAGGAGGGTTGGCACCTGTTTGAAAATTTAATTCTATTTAATTGATAAAATAAAAGAAATATTGCAATATGGGTATCAAATTACATTGGTTTAAGAAAGATAACTTTGGGAACTATTTTTAAGGAGAGTTGCCACCTATTTAAAAATTGTATGTCAGTTAAATTGATAAAATAAATGAAATATTGCTATGCGGGGTCAAACTGAAGAGTTTTAGAAAGGCTTTGAGCCTTGAGGAGGGTTACCATCTGTTTGAAAATCTAACTCAATTTAATTGATAAAATAAATGGCATTACAATATAGGTATCAAATTAAGAGATTTATGATGACCGAAGGAAATGTTTTTGAGGGGGGCTGCCACCTTTTAGAAATTTAACTCAGTTAAATTGATAAGATAAATGAAATATTGCAATGTGGGTAACAACCCTACAAGAACAGTGATAGTCATTTGATTGATCATGTGATAATCACTGGTGATGGAGATCTCAGTTAAGTACCTCTATCAACTTTTTAAGAGCAATATGAAAAACGTGATGTAAACATTTGTGTACATGTGGTCTTCCATCTTCCTCCAACTTATGGCCTTATTTAATGGTCTCTTTTTTACCAACGCAAAATTTGTAAATGTGTTAGTAAGATAAATGAGAATACGTTAGTTACCATCACACAATTCTTGTAGGGAAGCTTTACATTTTTATGAAGGCTTACAGCCGAAAATATGTTTGAACAGGGTTGCCATCTGTTTGAAAATTTAACTCAATTTAGTTGATAAAATAAATGGCTTATTACAGTATAGGTATCAAATTAAAGAAGTTTAAGAAAGACGACTGTTGGAAATATTTTTGTGAAGGATTGCCACTATTTGAAAATTTGTACTCGAAAGCTCAGTATGTTGCCGTAGTTGCACCAATGTATTTTCAATATAAACGGATAAAATAGATAAAACAACGAAAAATTAGTCCTTCGTCCAATGTGTTTGATTTATTATTATTTATGTATGGATATGTACAAATGTAAGGCGAATACGGAATATTACAGTTATCTTACCTGTAATACCAATACCGATCAATGGCGCACCCTTTA